GGATTAATATAAAAATGTATAAAGGGGCACCTGGGTAGCTCAGGCAGCTAAGCGGCTGCCTTCAGCTCGGATTGTGATCCCGGGGTCCTGGGATCGAGCCCCGCATCGAGCACCCTGCTCAGTGGGAAGCCTGTTTCTCCCTCTCCCTCTGCTGCTCCCCCTGCTTGTATGCTCGCTCTCTCTGTCAAATAAATAAATAAAATCTTTAAAAAAAAAAAAAGTATACATACAACTCGATAGCAAAAAATCAAACAATCCAATTAGAAAATTGGGCAGAAGATCTGAACAGACATTATTCCAAAGAAGACATATAGGTGGCCAAAGGGTACATGAAAAGATGCTTCCCATCACTAATCATAAAGGAAATGCAAATCAAAACCACAAGATACCACCTCACACCTGGCTAATATCAAAAAGACAAGAAATAAGTGTTGGTGAAGATTTGGAGAAGAGGGAATCCTTGTGCACTGTTGGTGAGAATGCAAACTGGTGTAGCCACTATGGAAAACAGTATGGAGGTGCCTCAAAAAAGTAAAAAATAGAACTACCATATGATCCAGCAATCCCACTTTTGGGTATTTATCCAAAAAAAAAAAAAGAAAGAAAGAAAGAAAACACTAATTTGAAGATATTTGCACCCCCATGTTCATTGCAGTATTATTCACAAAACCCAAGAAATGGAAACAATCTAAATGTCCATCAGTGGATGAGTGAATAAAGAAAATGTGATACACACACACACACAAACACACACACACACACACACAAAATGGACTCCTATTCTGCTATAAAAAAGAATGAAATCCTGCCATTTATGACAACATGGATGGACCTTGAGGGCGTTAGACTAAGTGAAAGAAGTCAAACAGAGAAAGACAAATCTGTGGAATCTAAAAACAAACAAAATAAGCTCATTGCTACAGAGAACAGACTGGTAGTTGCCAGAGGCAGGGGGTGGGGAGTAGGCCAAATGGATGAAAGGAGTCAAGAGGAAGAAACTTCTGGTTATAAAATAAATAAGTCCTAGGGATGTCATGTACAGCATGGTGACTCTAGTTAATAATACTGTATTTCACCTGTGAAAGTTACTGAGATAGTAGATCTCAAAGGTTCTCATTACAAGAAAAAAACAACCTGTAACTATGTGTACTGACAGATGTTAACTAGACTTGTGGTCATTCCACAATGTAGACAAACATCAAATCATTATGTTGCACACCTGAAACTAATATAAGGTTGTATGTCAATTATGCTTCAATAATAACAATAATAATAATTCTGGATGCCATCACAAACACTAGGTAATCAAGCGATTCTGTCCCCTGGCCTCCTTTGGCGACATACATCATACAGCCCTCCATCCTCCTGTTCCAGTGTGGAATGGGTGTTCTCTTGACCTGCCACACAGCTGTCACCCTGAAATGTTACCCTGGAGCATCCCTTCATCAGCTTCCCAGGATCTGCCTTTTGTACGCTCCTGTTTGAGTCCCCTGTTTCTTCAACACTATTATCATTCTCTTTCTTACTTTATTCCCTTGTTTTACTGGAGCATATCCTTAAATAGCTTCCTGAAAACAGATGCGGGGAAGGTACAATTGTGGAGACCCTACTTACATATAATATATTTACTTGTTTTGAAATTTTACATTTACTTTTTTTTTTTTAATTTGAAGATCGGGGGCACCTGGATGGCTCAGTCGGTTAAGCATCTGACTCTTGATTTCAGCTCAGGTCACAATCTCAGGGTCCTGGGATCAAGCCCCACTCTGGGCTCTACATTCAGCAGGGAGTCTGCTTGAGGATTCTCTCCCTCTTCCTCTTTTCCTCCCGTCTACCCCTGTGGACGTGTGCACATGTGCTCTCTCAATCAATCAATCAATCAATCAATAAATAAATCTTTAAATAAATAAATAAAATAAAACTTGAGAATTTAACTGGCTTTACTAAATGATTCACGAATCAGACAGCATGCCAGCTAGAAAATAGAGGGTTGCTCTGAGGAGTTGTACAAAAAACATTTACATTTGTTGATGTGGGTTTAATTTCTCTTTTCCTTCATTCCCTAGACACAGGGTGGGACCTTCTAACCTGAAAGCTCATGTCCCACAGACCTGGGAAATAGTGCTCCATCATTGGTCTGGTGATTTTCTTCTTTCCGTGTTCTCTGTTCTCTCTCCAATACTCCTATTAGTTAATGTTGGACCTACTGAACTGATACAACTGCTTTAATTTCTCTCTCCCATTTTTCTTTCTTTTTTTTTTTGATCTGTCAGATGTTTTTCTCAATGCTATCTTCCACCCTCTTGTTGATTTATTCCTATCTTATTTGTAACTCCCAAGACTTCTTTTCTATTCTCACCTGGGATCGTGACCTGGGCTGAAGGCAGACACCTAAAAACTGAGCCACCCAGGCGCCCCCTGTTGTCATTGTTGTTAAGGTCTTTTGTAACCAAGACTCTCCTGGGATGTCCAGAGATCCTGGCTCTTTTTTCTTTTTTCGGAGTGAGACAGCTATGTGAAGACAAATGGAGTTTTACAACAGGCATGCCTTACTAATAGTGAGCAGAACTCAGACATTTGGGGAGTGGGGGCCAACTACCACATCTGTTAGCCTTTTCTTAGGCTGGTTGCTTCAAGAGTAGATTCTTCCAAGTACTGATTTACAGGGGCGTACAAGCCCAGAGGGGTAATGACATTGAGGATGTCCCCAGATGGTATGCAGTCTTACCATCTGTCCTAGGCTACATCTTACGAACTCAAGCCCAGAGTTCACCTTTTCCAGAGAGCAAATCTCCCATATTCTGCCAGAGGCAGTGTTGGAGACAGAATCTGGGGGTATAGATGCAATCCTTCTTTTCAAATCTACTTCCCACCCATCGGAAGTACACAGAACCTCCAATGCCCAGGTCTCTGGGGTTCTGAGGTGTGACTAGGCTGCATTCTTCAGGTCTTCCCACCATAGGCAGGAGGCTGGCTCCCAGCCTCATCCAGTCTGCTGTCAGTTACCATTCATTCCCCCTCTTTCAATCTTCCAAAATTTTGTGGGTGTTTCTTCCCTGCAGTCATCCCCTAACCTGTTCAGTCACCCCTTATAAGTTACATCATCTCTGGTTCTTTACTATCATCTTAGTAAAGTGCCAGGAGGGGGCCAGATACAAGTGGGATGTTCAAGACAGTAGGCAAATTTATAGAGCATGTTGAGCTATGCATCCCCCCAACCCCAAGTAAGCCATGTTTTTATTTGCCCCCAGCTCTGCTCTTGCTGTCCCCCTGCCTGGTCCATCCCTATCCTCCTCCTTTCATCCATTTCCCAACCCTTAATGACACTTCAAGATCAGACTCAGGCATCATCTCAAGCGGGAAACTTTCCAGATCCTCCCCACACAGGCTGCATTTATCTCTGGCTTGACACACACCACATAGACCATAGTGTACCAAATCACCCTGTCTATAAGTCTGCCTCCCTCCCTAGATAAGAAGTAAGCAAGGACTGTGTCTTTTCCAATGTCCTGCCTCTAGTGTGGGGAAAACCATCTGACACAAAATAGGTGCTCCTAATATGTGTTCAACTGACCCACTTCAGTAAGCTCCATATTGGAAACATTTTCATTCTCAAAGGCGGGCAAAAAAAAAAAAAATATATGGCTCTGTTTATTTGCCAACGTCCAAATAAGAAAGGCTAATCAGAGAGCACCAGGAAATGAAAACAGCCAGATGTGTTTGAGAGCCAAGGTCCAGGAACGCAAAATAGCTTCCAACAGGGGTGATGTATGTTTTCCTAGTGATTCAAAAGGAATATATGTTTATTAGGCAGAGAGAGATTTAGCAGGTTCCTTGGCTAATGCTGCAATTTTAAATCCATTTAAGATAATTTTCTTTATCTTGAATCTATTTTTCTCAGTAACCAGGATACTTAACCGATTTGTCCAAAATCCATTTGAAAAAGAAATCATCTACTCTAAGCAAGGACACACTCTAAACTGGAAAAAAAAGAGACACTACAACTCTAAGAAAACAAAGAACCCTGTTAAGCCAATGTGGACGCTTGCCTAGAAAATAGGTTTTCCTCCAGCGTCCTGATTCTATGACCGATCCCTCTTCTCCATTTCCCAAGGAGAACACAAATAATTCTTAAATCTGAGCCCACAGAACAAAGACTTTTCCTGAGACAAAAGACCCAAACAAATTGGTTAAAAGGTAACACCCTCAAACTAAACAGTGGAAGATGAAACAATCACGGAACGCACTTTCTCACCCATCAGCTTGGCAAAGCGTTTTTGAAACACGAGTACCCAGTTTGGGAAGGATCAAGTAAGATTCCAACGAGTGCGGACTGCCATCAACTTTCTGGAGGACAGTATCCCAAGATGTATCTAGAGCCTCCAGAGTACTCCTACGATATGGCATAAGCATTATACTTTCAGAAGTGTGGCTTGAGAAAATAAATACCAAATCACAACACACGAGGATGTGAGTGGCAAGATATTCATCAAATGGTTATTTATAATAATGACAAACCGACAATACCCTGAATTTCCAACAACGGAAATAATGATGCGAAATGGTCATAAGGATGATCATCGTTAATCATAATTAATGACAGCACGCGCTCATGAAATAATATTAAATGGAAGAAAGATCCAAACAATACATCACATGCTCATAATCTGTATAGAAAATTGACTCAAACACAAAATGCCAAAATTTGACCGACTGCTGTCTCTAGGTAATGAGATCATGGCGAGTTTTGTGTTTTACTTAAGACTTTTTGTATTGAGGACCTTCCTATGTGTTTCTGGATTACTTTTATAAAAATGTCAAGACTTTATTTAGATAATATTTCATAATCCATAGTACTCCATTTGTTGACTGTGAAGGACACTAAGTAAGACAGAAGCCCCTCTGCTGGTCCCAAAGGACCTGAGAACATGTCACAGACTCAGGGCTGCACCCATCCTGTGATGTAGCAAGCTGCTCTGAATGACTGAATCACAACTTACTTCGTGGGACGATAATCCGGAATGGAACGATCCAGTGAAATTTTTTCACTGAGGTAGGAATTGTAGCCATACTTCTCATGGGGTCCCTTGGCTTTCTCTTCTTCAGCCGGGGAAAGGGTAGCAGGAAGGCCCCCTTTGCCCCGCCCACCATAACCTTCAATGAGCCCAAGGGATTTGGATAAGCCTAGAAAAAGGAAGGAAAAACAATTATTTGAAAGCCACCACATCAGGCTATGTCACTCAAGCTCAGATATATGCTTCAATGGCAAGTCTAACATTACCTGTCACGGGTAATTACTTCCTCGATAGAGCAATCCAGGAATGTGCCCTGAACACAATCATATTAAGAGGAAGGTCGGGGCAACTGAGAGTTCTGGAACTAAGTTTAATTCCCAGTAAGGAGCTTCTCCCTCCTCTGGGGAACTGAGTGGATGGGGGTCCACAAAAGGGAGAGACTATCTAAACTGGGACAAATGCAGACCAAGAAGGACACAGGAAATGGGACAGACGTGGGGCTATCAGCCAGGCCTGTTTTCCTTTCCCCGTGGGGCAATGACAAGCCTTGATACTCCACGAGCTACATGCACGACACAAAAAAAGAACAGCCAGTCACAAGGAACGGCCAGACCAAAGGTGCTTTTGCTTCATTTGAACAGAGAATGACATACAGATTGGTTTTATCATGAGTTTAAAGTGTGTAACAATCTGACACAGTTCTTTACCTAATGGTTTTATTTAAATTTCATCTAAATGGCAAAAGGAAATATAGAATGTTTGAGAATAAATCATAGAGGGGAAAAAAAAAACCCACAAGGGTGATAACCATGCCAAGTGGAGTAGGAGGGCTCTGTAACAAGCCTCACTGAGCAATTGCAAGTTCCCAGGATGGTGGCAGCTTTGTATCTACTACTGTTCCATTATACAATAAACAGCTTGATGGGCAATCCTGAAATCCAAGAGTTATGGGAGGTTTTACTTCTCGGCTAGAAAACTTTTGTTGTTAAGGGCTCTCATTCCCTTTTGCCATTTTGAATGCTCAAGCTAAGTTACTTAGCACACCCACGAGCATGTGCACGTGCACACACACACATACACAAAACACTTTATCCACAGAAGTCCCATTGCTCCTACTGGCAGGAAGAACACGGAGCGGAGATGTAAACAGTGCCCTCCGCTTTCATGAGGGGCAGCCCACAGAGCTGAGGACGATTCGAACCTCCCAGAAAGGTACCCCCAGACCAGTCAACGGCCAACAACTCTGCTCCCATCACAGAACAGCACTCTATCACATAATGGCAAGACTTGCCTGCTTCTCTGAAAACAGAAATGTATTTTCTGTGATATCAAGATCAAAAAGCAAAGGTCGAGCAAGCATCTCAGAGTTGGTCTCGGGTGAACATCATTTTTCTACCTGAGAATCATTTCCACTGTCCACTCTGAGCTCCAGGAACCCTGACATCTTTTCCGCCTGCCATCATCCCAACAGAGGCGCCCTCAGCTGAGCATTAGATTATTCCAACATTTCCCACCTGCTTCCTGGGCTTTGAATTCTCATTCCACATCAATGTGCCACAAACATTCCAATAATATCACCTTCACAATGCTCAAAAATCTATAAGAACTCTTCCCATGTCAAGTGCAAATACCTGTGCTGGGTTTTAAAATCACTTGTCAGAGAACATTACTAGTAGGAATGTTAAGACAGGGCAGCGACTTTGGAAAACAGTTCGGTAGTTCTTCAAAATGCTAAGCATAGTTTTACCATATGACCCAGCAACTCCATTCCTGGGTATATACCCAAGAGAAATGAAAAGATCTGCCCACATAAAAACTTATACAGAAATGTTCATAGGAGCATTATTCATATTAGCTGAATGTCTATCAACTGATGAATGAATAAACAAAAATGTAAAACCATACCATGAGACATTATTTAGCAATTAAAAAGAAGGAAGTAGTGATACACACTATGACGTGGATGAACTTTGAAAACACGATGCCAAGTAAACAATGCTGGTCAGGAAAGACCACATATTGTGTGATTCTATTGATATGAAATGCGCAGAATAGGCAAATTTCCAGAGACAGAAAGTAGATCAATACCTGTTTTGGGCTGATGGGAGTGGGGGAGGAAAGGGGGAGTGACTGCTAATGTGTATGGGGTGTCTTTTTGGGTGATGATAATGTTCTGGAGTAAGATTGTGGTGATATGTGCATAAACTTGTGAATCTACTAAAAAGGAAAATGTTTTAAGTTCTTTTAAAATCAGAACATAGTCACAAAATGTAATTCTTAATACCATTTTTTAATGGAGGAAGAAACCCACCAAGGCCAAAGTCATTATGTGGCCCTTATTCCCTTGAGGTTGTTAGACTCTTACCTATAAGTGACAGGTGCCTAAAGCACAGAGAAGGAAAGGAACATGATCTGAGGCAATGGGACAGACCCCAGACAGCCACCATTTACGGAGGCGCTCTCCCGCATGCTGGGGACCCCGCTAAGTGCTTTACATGGAGTGTATTATTGTTTTGTCAACTCTCCTGACCAACCTCTGAGGAAGGTATTATTTTGATCTCTGACAAATAAGGACACTGAGTCTGAGAATGTAGTAACTTGGTCAAAGTTCCATGGCTGGTAAAGGAAGACAGACCAGGATTCTGGGTATAGTTAGAGACTCAAAGGAGGACAAAACCTCGCCTCTGTGACAAATAAGGAGACCAATTCCAGGACTCTTGCAGCAGCTGACAAGAGAGGATAGGGGCCTCATTTTAAGGCAGTGGTGATAGTGATCAAAAGGAGAGGAGAGTTTGGAGAGGTATTTAAGAGACACTGTCACAAGGCAGAGACAGACAGGTGTTAGGGTGGGAGAGAGCAGGAAGAAGTGAGTTAGCCTGGCTTCCAGTGTGAGGACCAGGTGAGAACACCACTCCCAAAGATGGCGCCGTCAGAAGCAGGTTTGAGAAGATGAGTTCCACTCCACACAGGTGGTCTACGGGGCAACCATGGGACATTCCGACAGTGTCAGAGGTCCAGTGGGTAACTGAAACCCATGAGAATGGAAGTTAAGATGGAAGACGAAGCCCAAGATATGAGCCAGGAAGCCACAGCCTGGCAGGGGCTGTAGCCATGATGGAGGGTAGGGGTGGCGGGCTGGGGGCAGAGGTCGAGCAGCAAGAAGGAGAAAGACAGATGATGCTCAGGAATTTCAACATATTTAGAGTAGGAACTGCATCCTTCAAAACTTATTTCTTCTCCACTCTGTACAGGGGCTCCCTCACTGAAGCTACACTTGAAGCTCAAGACTTCAAGGAACTAAGACTTAAAGGAATGGAGAAATATCTCAGTATGAACCAAGTGGTTAAGCTTCTTCCTTATCTTCATAGATCCATTCAACCACCCTCTCTCCATCCACTAATGATCACTGTTTAGGCTTTAATTTTTTTAATGGTTTTATATCCATTTCTGTATTAAACAGGAAAGGTTGATGTTACCAGGATCACTTTAGAGATAACGAAATGGAGGCTCAGGAGGATTAACTATGTGACCTTCCAAAAGTAATGGAAATGGAAGACATTCCTTCCAACCTCAACACACACGAATGTTCTATCCAGGAAATTCTTCAGGAAGAAAGAACCCAGCATGGAAAATATGATGGTGATAAATTAATGGTAGTGAACTCATTAAGAGGATACTATATAGCAATGAAAATGAATTACTTGCTGATAAATGGATGAATCTCAGAGACACAACGTCAAGTGAAAAGCAAGCATTAATTCATATAATTCCATTTATATAAAGTTTCAAAAGCTAATCAAACCATAGTTCAGAGATATAAACTCATGGAGTGATACCAGAAACAACTGCAAAAAAGAGACTAGATCATCCTTGGGAAAGACACACAAAGGACCTCAAAGGTCCTGGTAATATTCCATTAGAAAGCTAGTAGGATTCATTCATTCATTCATTCAATTCCATAATAATTCATTATAGAATTATTACCTGACATGTATGTGATATATATAATGGATGGCATTTTGCATAATAAAAAAGACCATGCAGGGACTACTGACAGTGGGTTTTTTTCTCCTTGTCTTGTGCACTTCTGCTCATTCACCTGGATTTTCCCTTTTTCTCACTAGTCACAAACTCAGCCTTCCATAGTTTTCCTGCCAGCATGCAGCCCAAGGGTCAAGGAGGGAAACCACTGGAATGGGACATGACTGACTTTCAATTTAACTGAGCAGCTTCAGTAGAAAACATCCGATTCTTCCTCTTATCTCATCTGTTTGGTTTGGTTAGCACATCTTTTTCTTCCCTTGATGACAAAGGCCTTCTTTTGGCCATTAAATGCCACCTCAGAGCTAAAAAGCATCTCAGCTGTGTTTGCCCAGCATCTTCCATGGGCAGCCTTTCCAATGCAGGCAGAAGGGCCACGGAAAGAATTCATTTTAAAATGGCACAGGAATTAAGACTAGGAATGCATGCTAATCCCACCAAGAACACAAAGGGAATGATGGTTCCCAGTGAGATTTTTTTTTCCCCTTTCTGTGGCATTATTTCTTCCATTATGGAAGGCACCCACTTAGCAGCCTCAAAAAAGATCATTCTTCACAGTGCAATGTGACAATTACAAATTATATATTTTGTGGTCCATGTGCTCCCATTTTCCCCCCAAATGAATCTGCCAGCAAGGTTCAACAAAGCAGCAAAAATTTTCACTGGCATTTTAATGTGCTTACTTAGCAGGCCCCAGAAACTACTGGCAAAGATAAATAAGAATTCAAGATCATCAACAAGGCTCAAGTTGGTCTTCACTTAGCCAGGAAAAGTCGCCTCTGGAGCCAGCTGGGATGACTCCATGCACCTGGGAACCTTCTCTTCTGAAAGTGCCTTTTGCAATCTGGTCAGAAGCAATTGTAGCCACTGCAGACCAAAATGTATTTGTAGGCCTGGAAGTCTCAGTTGGCAAAGGGAAGAAGAAGAAAAGAGGGAAAGAGGAGTGGTTGCTTGGCACTTGGTCTGGGAAGATGCATCATTCCCTCT